GGGGGTGGGAGGAGGGGATGCAAAACAGTCAGGGCAAACAGGTCCCGATGTTTGGAAAAGGGGCCGGTTCAACACAGCCCCCTCCTCCTCGTCTTCCTCGCTGAGAGATGGGGGTAAAGCCAGAAAACAGGAAATTCCACATTAACACAAAATAGGGCCAATGTAAACAATCAGATGAATGACACTTGACCCCAGCTCCAGCGCGAGAGATGCCCAGGGCTCGCCTTATTCTGGTTACATAAGCATCTCGTTACCGGGCGCCCGATTTACTCAACTTCCCCCTCCTCCTTCTCTCTTCCTCCGCTAATCTCTCCTCTCCATCCAGCACTTACGGACACACATCCAGCAGGTCACAGGCAAAGGTACAGAGTCATCCGCTGCAGCCTTTTGATGGATGAAATGAACAATCACACAACGGCCCAACAGCATTTCTTTTTTTTTTTCCCCCCTTCCTCTTCTCACTAATCATTCCCTTATCCTCTCCCCTCCCTCTTTCTTTCCTCTCTGTCTCTTTTTGCTTTGACATCAATCAGACAGATGATGAGAGAGAGAGAGAGAGAGAGAGAGTCCCAATAGGGCATCCATGGGAGGCCACACAAGAAGGAGAGTTCAAAGGCAAAAACTGAACCCTGAACACAAACACACACAAACTGACTTTGATATCCAAATATGTCCGTGTGTAACACAAACATTCCCGTACACACACACCACACACTGCACAGCGTTTGTGTGTGTGTGTGTGTGGGGAGTTTGGATTTATTATAGCAGGGTGAATGCCCAGTGATGGCAAACCTTACTATACATGGAGAGAGGAGTGCAACAAAAGAGAGCAGCATGCATTGATGAGGACATTTAAGTCATTTCTGCTCATTTGATTGATTACTGAAAAAGAACAGTGAGCTCACAGGCCGTCTGTTCAACATTCTTCTAGAACATTCAAATGTTATTGGTAAAAACTGGGGCTAACGTGGAATATGTGTTTTAAATAACAAAAACTCTGAAAAAAATGTTTTTTTACATTCCCAGGGCCCTCATTTGACTGTCTGTTTATTCACTTACAATTAGGCTACTAATGACTTTATTCAACATTAGCATGGAAAGTTTTGCTTTTTTTCATCCACAATTACATTTTTTTTATAAAAGCCACTCATTTTAAAGTAATATTTGTATGATACTGCCAATTCATCACTGTCATTATAAAACTGAGGCTATTAGTCGACATTAACGAAGGTACTGTTTTAAGCAATAAAGCGGATGGATATTTTACAACAGTTAGCAAAGATGCACCACGGCACTAGTTAATTATCTGACAAAACAAAACAAAACAACGTTTTATCAGCGGCAGGTGTGTTTATAAGACTTTGGAGCTTTTTAAAACCTGTTGCTACAACTTGCTGAACTTTTAAAAAAGACACAATTCATATCTGGAGAAAACGTACCTTGTGTCTGGTGGGAAACCCGGTCCCAAAGCTAAAGACAAGTATCGACCAAATCACAAGCAGCATCTGAAATCTCCACGCGACCTCTCGACTCATCTTCTCCGCTTCAAAGCCGTCCCGCGAAGACCTGAAAAAAGTCCTTTGGAGGGTTTTTCCTCAAACCGTTCTCCCTAAATTGGCTTGTTGGTTTGGTTGAAGCGAGGCGTCCCTGCTCGTCCTCGTCGCTTGTCGGCAACTTTGACTCAGGACAAATGAAGTTTTCAGCCTCGTCGGTCTCGAAGTGTCGCACTTTATGAAGATGCGCACCAGCGTCCAGAGGTGTCCCGCGCGCTATCCATATCTGGCACCAGCGCCTCGTGCAGCAACTGTCAGTCCGTATGGCGGGTCGAGCTCAGCGCTTCTCTGCCCCATAAAAACCACAGTTAGCGGAGCTTTAAGTACCAGAAAGAAGTCAAATACCCCACGCAGAATCTCCCCGTCCGCACCGGCGCTCGCTTATTCAACTACTTTAAACTGTGAGTCATTCCGTCGTGGGTGGGTGGGTGTTTTCTTCCAATACATTGACATCTGGAGTTCATAGCATGCTGTGCGTTTTTGCTATCTTTCTGATGCGTTAATCCATTACCCAGCGACGGTTCATCCACCGGTTCGAGTGGATGTGTGTGTGTGTGTGTGTGTGTGTGTTAGTGTGCGCACAGCCCAGCCAACCGGTTTCGGTAAACTTGCCTTTCACGCACGCATTCAGAAGGTTGATGCTGAGGGAGTTGGGGGTGGGAGGTTTATTGCTCACAGCTGTGTGGAGGGGGGCACTGGGGTTCCTGATAAGGTACACGGTTGTTTTGTTTACATAGAACCTACAACAGGCAACACATCAAATTGGACATTTTTTGTCACTGAGAAAAGTCCATTTTATCAGATAGTCAGACTTGAATAGCACATTTTAAAGTGACATATTCCGACAATCTCTTGCGAAATTATTTCCCTTGTTCCTACAATCTCTTTAATCACATGCCATTTTCTTTAGGCTTGTTTTGGCGTTTTCTAAACTCTGGAAACAAGTCATTATCTCATCAAGTGGCATACTGTTTCACAAAAATGCCATTTTGAGACTGGAGTGAATGACTGGCCAATGTGGAATGCTGCGTAATGGCAGGATGTCAGTGAGTTATCAGTCAGAAAGGCTTTCAAAATGTTTGTCGTGCAGCTTTTAAGTTGTGACTACAGTCTGTGTGTGCCTGCTGTAAATAAACACAAACCCATTCCAGAACTTGATACAAAGAAAGTGATTTAATCAGCACTGTTTCCAACAGCATGGTCAACAAACATCATGGCTTTGCAAACTCCTCTAAGTGGTTTATCAAGAACCCAAATACAATTTCAAGGGCAAAATCAACTGATAAGTTTCCAATGGCCACTGCAGGTCAGTCCGCAGGTAATTGTGGTAGATAGGCAGGAAAATGTCACAGAGGTCCAAACAACTCCCAACATTTTAATAATCTCTCTTGACTTAAATCCCTTAGTTTCAGCGAGGGAAACCTGGCTGAGAGAAACAGGCATGTTGCTGTTTGCAATTACATTTTTGCCTCCATAGACAGAAACGTAGAGACTTAACATACGGCATGGTGCTGCAGACAGCTTGAGAGGAAACTTTGACGAGAAGAAAATGTTTTATGTCAGAGCACATTTCTGAAGAGTGCAATTCCAGATCATAGTCATGTGTTCCACCTTTAATATTATATTTATTAAAAGCAAATGCATCACAGAGTTGTTACTCAAGCCATTTTCTGTGAAAAAAAACAAAACAATATTGGAATGACTCACTTAAAGACAATGTAAATAATGTCTAATGGATGTACAGTTAAAAGAGACCCCAAAAAGTTGTCGTGCTTTGCTAAAATGACAACAAAAAAAAAATCATTAACAAAAGCATCTCTGAGCTTGAATTGAGTTTGATCACTCTGATGAACATTTAGAGGAATGGTCACATTGCCAGTCAATAGCCAGCTTTGTGACTGGCCACACTGACGAGGCCTCCAATTCACATCAATTAAGTGATCGAACATAAAACACACACAAACAGGATTTTTGACAATATGTTTGCCACGTCTGGGGTGACCTTACACGGACCATTAAAACAAAAACGGTAAACCAAAACAAACACTTGACACTGAAAGCACACTGATATGGAATGCCATTCCAGAAGAGGATAAATTATGAGAAAACAATGACATTTGAAGCATACCTAAACAAAGTTTCAGTGACTACTTCATCTGTGCATTTACAATGCCTGTCAGTAGTGTTAGCACTGAAGTTAAGACGTGCAAGTAGTCAGTTTAAAATACACACCTTTCACTGGGACACATTTGGAGCTGCCTTTCAGATAACAGTTAATTATTATTTTGTACAAATATAAGATAGCTGAAAGTCGACGAAGACATTTGAAATAAATAAAGCTGTCTGTATATCAGATAAGCACGGGATGCGGGATCGTCATACATACAGAGAAGTTACAGCGCGTCATCGTGCTCAAGAGATCCGTGTCGACGCTGATTGACATGAAAGCACTTGAGTGAGAAGGACTTAGCGGGGGTGAATCAAATCACACATGTAGCTCATTAGCTTATAGAAATGTTAAAGACACTGGGCTCAAGTTTTTGAGTGCAGGTGTAAACAGTAAATAAGGCTGAAAAATATTTCTAGAAAAGAAGCAGTAAAAAATATTCCTTAGTCTTGCTCCCTGGGATTCTTTCCCTGTTAAATGTTTTCTTTTGGAACATCTGCTTTGCATTTTAAGAGACAAGGTAGAAAACACATCTATACATGTATATCCTTTGGTTAGGGGAAGAACCCAATATTCTATACTCTATTCAAGTAAAAGTGATTAGAAAAAAAGTCATCAGATAAATACATATGGAGTGAACATGCTAATGTTACTCCTGTGAAATAATGTATCTTTGAGGTTTGGGATGCTACCCTAAGGCAGTATTACCAACTTCGGGATAAATAATATTTACATATAACTTTTTCCTCATAGCAACGGCTACGATCAGATTTCTTTTTCTCCAAGTGCACGAGTGGTAACTCGTGGCAAAATCCTGTCTACGTTGCTCTAGGTTGTTTTAATTACAAAGAAACCCCATGTTGTTATTATTGCACAAATAAGACACACATTCAATGTGCACACAGGAATAAGTCTTGACGTTAGACGGACGCAGTCACAATAAGTTAGGACAAACTGAAAGGCTCTGAACGCACTTTGCAACAACGCACACGTACAGAAAGATGAGTGTGATTTTGGTCCTCCCCTGCTATGGGGTCACAGGCTGCACATCGGCTGATGAGCGGTGCTAGTGTGCAGGTTTCAAAACAGGGTGGACCTGTGAAAGACTTTGGTTCTCGTGATACCGCGGGTGTCTGTTGTTGAAGAGATATGGCGAAGTGGGTATAAAGAGACTGGCTCAGAGGATAATGAGGGACAAAAAAAAAAAAGATCTGATGAGAAAAGGTAACGCGAGGGAGGGACAGTGAGTTGGGTGGGAGGGCTGGATGATAGCAGTCATCAGTCCTGAAGCAGGCTCTCCTCGGCCATCCACCCAAGCGAGGGAAGAGGCTGTTCACGTCTGGAGTACTTCAGCTGCAGCAGGTCACCCACTTCACTGATGGCCTCCAACGCCTGGTGAAAGAACAGGAAGAATGCGATTAATCGGAGTCCAAAAAGATATTAGTTATGTCAATAAAAATGATGTGAACATAGCCCAACAGACGAGCCAGACAATAAAAAATAAAAAAAACACTAAGCACAACTTGAAAGAGGATTGCTTTGTAGGTGATAAATGGGAGTGATAAGGCTTAATCACACTTGGATTTTCAAGCACTAAACATGACAGAAGGCTCCTTGCATAAACCACAACTGAACACAAACTCCTCCACTTCTTTCCAACAGAGACTGTATCAGTATTGCAACACTGCAGGGCACCTGGAAACAATTTACCTTCCTCCTGACCTTTTTTCTGATTCCATGCTTTGAGAAATAGCGAGGGCTGGCTTTTCCAAAGACGGAAAAAGCGGCTCCTCGAAGTGCTCTACAAAGGCAGGCTGATGCCCTTTAAATGGACTATTACGAACGGTGTTGACATGCTCCTCAGTAAGATGAATGAAGTGTCTTTGGAGAGACAGAGCAGCTCAAATAAAAGTCTCTGTCTGAGCCACGCTGTAATGCTTGGAGACAACTTGGCCTTCCAAGTTCCTTTATAATAAAGGACATATTGGAAGCCTTTATTATTCAACAGGCACACTATGAGTCTGTGGACAGACACACACACACACACAACAGCTGAAAAAAGCCTGCCGAGTCCTAGGGTCCACGATGACCCCTGAATCCAAATAAACTCTTATATTATGTTGAGGATAAAATTAAGTCTTCAGCAATATAAGTCTGTCCTGTAACAACATGCCTTGAACGGGATCCAATGGGGAAGAAGACCGACTGAGCAGAGATCAGATGTCTTTCTCTCTTTACATCTTGGAGGATAAATTGAGACCAAATGGCAGTTGTATATTGGAAGTGGCAGCAAAGAAGCTAGTTTTACTCATCTCCACCAATAGTGATGCATATAAGTGATGACAGCAGAGCAAATGCAAATATTCCAAAGAGGCGTATTTTTAGTTTGTGCTAACATTTTGCCAAAAATACAGAGATTCTGAAAACCCAATGACCAATTTAAAGCGATTTTCATGCTGATTTGGAAGTTGTTTCATTCCCACAGCACATGGAAACTGCCTACACCGTTTTATATTGAAGAGAGTCCTATTATGGCAAGACCTAAGAAAGTCTTCTGCCATAAGAAGCATTAAAAATAAAACCAAACTTTAAACCTTTGGGCTCTGCATTTCCCTACTGTTAACATTTAGGATAGATACAGATACATTATTTCACTTTGTGTTTCAGACAGTGATTGGACTTATTGGATAACTTACTGTGTCAAGCATCTCTCTGGTATGGGCAGCCGAAATACAGAAACGTGCTCTAGATTCAATGATGGGTGTTGCTGGGAAGCCGACGACCACTGTGCCGATGTTTCTCTTTAACATCTCCCGACCAAATGCCCTGAAAAGCAACGGCAACATTAGACACAGGGCAACACTTGGCAAATCTAACTGATGATCTGATCTCTCCACCGCCGCTGTCACCACATCTTAGTGCGTGGGAAGCTGTTTATGATTTCAGTTTCACACATTAAAGAGAACACCCTCTAAGTCAGATTCTATTTGGAGAAGGGACAACAGTTAAGAAAAGTCATTTAAATTAGAGCATAAGCCTTTATGTCTTTTCCAAATGTGAAATCATTTGGGAGATTCTTCCGATTAGCCATCCTAATTATACTTTCAAGTAAATATGTCAAATAATATGAAATGGAGGAGAATCACACACCCAATTTTGGCAGGCATATAGAGCATCATGGGTACTACGGGTGAGTCGTCGTTGCCATAGATGATGAAGCCCATGTCGCGGAGTTTCCTGCGGAAGTAGGTGGTGTTCTCCGATAGCTGTCTGAGGCGATCAGCACCTGGAAAGGGCAGATAAACAGAGGGATGTTTCACAACGAGGGCATCAGCTTATTTCAGTGACAACAGTTGCTATGGTAACCTATACTTAGAAGGTAACTATACAGGTTTTTAGGAGGTAAGCCTGCCTGCCTTGACTGTAACTATAACTCAACACCATGAGTGAAGACTGTACACTATTTCCAACAGATGTTCTGTTGCAATTGGAGAACGAGTATCGACCAGTTAGCGCGTCTCACCCGTTGTGCACCCACGCAGGTGTTTTCACTTTGCTCATTAGACCTTTCATCAGCTCTGTGTGCACATGTGCAGACTGGTCTTGATTGGCATGTACCTCACCATCCTGTTGCACCTGTTTTGGTGCGACAAATTACACCTTTATTTTTCCTATTAGTAGGTGGCATTTGGTGACCGCAGACAGTTCCAGGCAACTTGTGCAGAGGTATAATCAGCCACAGGTGAAAACACCTGCATGGGTGTCCAGTCCTGCAACCCTATTTCTTTTGGTTATTATTTATGCTGGTAAGCCTCAGGAAACTGTATCACCCGCTCTTGTTCGCAGTCCAAGTGAATGACACAGCATGTATTTTTGCAGCTATGTGCATTTGACGATGTCTGAGTTGTTCTGTTTGGCCTGCTTTTACACTGCAGAACAAGAACATCTTATGGCAGCACAAGCCCAAGTTAGGCCCAAAGTGAAGTAAGATGTCACACTTGTTAAGCAGTCCGGCTTGAGTAACAAAACCATGTTAAACAAAAACAAATCCATAGGATGACTATAAAACTAGCCAGAAAACACTTTTATCATGTCCTACACTTATTTGCAGACAGCACTACACCCGTTGCCTTTGAAGAAAACCATGAATCTTTAAAGTTGAGGTCAAGGGGCTGCCTAAACAGGCATCAATCCTCACGTGTCAGTCTGATGCACACTGTTGACGCACTCACTGAATCCTCCGGCTGAGTCTCCAGAGATAGCATCTTAACCAAACAAATAACCATATGGCACAAAGCGCCAACAGAAACACACATCTGCCTGGCTGTGCTGAAAAACAACGCAGAAACACCACGGCTTCAAAGCACCCTGAGACACAACAAAGTCTGACATTATATTTATCCAGGAACTTTTTTTTTTTTTTTTCCACAGTCAAAGAATCCAAAGCACTATTCTCAGCACTGAGCGGTAAAACAGATAAAACAACAAAAAAGAAAACAGTAGCATATGACATTGAGACATTTTGTGCTTTAGCATTCTTTTCATATTAAAGAAAGCTCTGCCCGTCTTGTTCCTGCATTTCCCATTCACATATTTGATTGATGTAACCTTCAAACAACAAAATGTCCATTCTGATGCTGGCCTGTGCTGGGAACCATGAGCAGCCGTCCTTAGCAGCAACTTAAACGCAGCAACAAACTGTCAGCAGGCAGCTCAACTGTCACTTCAACTTTGCGTCAGTGTCTGAATCTTCAAAGGCCTGAATTTCAAACAGTGACAGGGCTGCAACCAATCAGACTGTCATTGTTAGTCTTCTACAAGGAAAGCTGGGATATGTCGTAAGGTCAGCCAGTCTGGCCTTCTCTTCTCAGAAATGGTTTGGAGAAAGAGCTGACGACATTGTGTAACAGTCACACTATAAAGGTTGCCCCGGGTTTATTCCCATAACTAACAATTGAATGGCTGGGGAGCAAGGTAATCTGATCTTGTATCAGCAATTTAAAGGAGGCTGCATCAATCAAGCCCCGTAAAGAGTAAAAGGGTGCCGCCCTGCAAGAAAAACAAGACTTAGTGATCTGTTTGTGTGTGTAGGAGATGAGTCCAGCAGAGTTTAATCTGTGCAGATCTCTGGCCCTAAGCACCATGCTGCTTTGTACCCAGCGTGAAGGCAAAAGAAGCACACATACACAAAGAAACACACATCTGAAAGCCATAAAAAGGGAGAGGGCAGAAGTGTCAGCATACCACCACTTCAAGGCCTTCCATCAGCCAGCGCTGAATCGGGAACCGTCCACCCATCAGTTTAAAAAAAAATGCACATCCCGGAAGATAAAGACAGGAGGAGCTTGCTGTACAGGACTACAGAGAGAGCTTTAAATATGCAAGACCTTGCTCGGGAGATAAAATTAAACTGCAGGTTCCCGTCATCAGATTGGGAAGTGTAAAAGAAATCCTGTGCCACTTTTTAAGAGTAAGTGTTTCTGAAGTAGCTATGTCAAAATATTAGAAAAGAAACCACATTTTAATACAATTTTACTTAGAGGACATTTTCACCCATCTTGGAAAAGAAGGTCATGTGACATTCTAAAACAAGAAATCACTATTATTATATTTGCGTCTACTTTTGTAGTTGAAAGTGACATGGTGTAAACAGAAATGTATGAAGGGCATGGACCCGTGTGGCATTTACACTGTATCTAGAATGGTTTTTTTTTACATGGCATACAGTTTGATAAGGCCCTCAAACACACCTTTATTTACTGGTAAATAATTGCCAGTCGGCCATAGGATAGTAGCCTTTATCACTTGGCTGGGAAGGAAAAATTTCCACGGTAAACAAGCACAGTCAGTAAGAAGGAGCCAAAGTACAAAAGGTGGCAAAGCTGATGTGAGTTGAGAGGAAAGGAATGTCCAGCAACCAGTCATCTGAAGTAAGCCTGAACCACAAGCTTCTACTGCCATCTTGTGGTCACAGATGGAACGGCATGCCAAACACAACCAGTAGTGTGTCAGTCCGATCTCAAATCAAAACAAGAGTCAAATCTTGGACAAAAAATTAACAAGAAAAGCTGACCAATGAGAGCTTCTTCAGTCCACCACAAACTAACATGTATATCTAAGCCAAATGCCTTTTGCAGAATACCTTTTGTAAAACAATTCACATCGTTCCACTTTCTTTGAGGTTGTATAGTAATTAAAGGTGCCTTTTTAATGAGTGCCCTGTTGCCACAGCAGAGATGTACTTTAAAAGAGATTGGTGTCATTCTCCGGCACATACCCAGTGTGGTCCCATCCTCTCCCATGATGATCCTCATAGAGGTGATTATCTGCTGGGCCACAGGAGGGGACATGGAGGTGGCGTACAGGGCACTGTGAGAGTGGCGCCGCAGGTAGTCAATCAGCTCCTGCCAGAGAAATGACATTAAAGTTGCTTTTATTTTCCACAAACAACATGGACACAGAATCTTTCGTTTGCTCAGGGTGCAATGATAGAAGACAGTTGCACCATACAGGACAGAGAAAAAATGCTCCAATGTAGCAGCACTAATGGATAAAATCATTAGGTTTTGATACAAGACAGGACAAGACAGATTTATTTCATCATATTGTAAATTCAACTAATGCACCGTCATTAGTCATTCTTGGCATGATAACTGTCCAAAATTTTACACTGTGAAAAAATGTGTGCACAGGTGTTTCAGCCAGTCAATTCTGGTTTTGAAAGTGTTGCTAAAGATGTAGTTCTATTTGTATCTGTATGCTTGTGCTTTCTTTGTATTTGTATATTTTTCGTAAACAGGGTTCTAGGCCAACTCAAGTAACCTTGATTACAGCTCTACACTGACTAAAAAAGAAAGCTTACACTAAATCAAATCCGCTGCAGAAAAACAGGAAGCTAAACTTCCCATTACTGGCAAACAGCGTTGACCAATACTACACTGAATGACACACAACGTGCTGGGCGGCAACAGTCGGGAAATTGCTGCGGCCCCTAAAGAGGATTACTACGTGCGCCAGCTACTGACAGCATGTGTCATTATTCCCCTTACAGCAGAGAAGCCTTTATATTCCACTGTCTGTCCTCAAAGCGTTAGTTTTACCTGTGCAAGAGTCCACCCACCTTTTTTCCTCCAATGTATCCTCCGGCAGCACCGAAGCTCTTTGTGAATGTTCCCATCATGATGTCGACATCTTTTGGATCCAGGCCAAAGTAGTCCACCACTCCTTTGCCGTTAGGCCCCATGGCCCCGATACTGTGGGCCTCATCCAGGTAGAGATACGCCTTGTAGCGCTTCTTCAGAGCAATGACCTCTGGGAGACGCACGACGGAACCCTCCATACTTCAGGAGAAAAAAAACATTATGTTAAAAAAATTCAATCAATAAATTCAGAGCGATCCCACAACTCATCAATAGTGATGACATGCTTAGACCTAATAAATAAACAATGATTATTCTGGCAAAAGCAGTTTTATGGAGGATACAGTAACCTCCGAAAGCTGCTGAGGGAACATCAGCTTCACCTTTGTTTAGTTGGGTATGTGTAGGTGTTAATGTCTGCATAGGCACTGTCTATTTAGGCAGTTGAAGTGATTGCTTTGGAAAATTCCAGTGGAAATGAAACTCCATTAACATTGCATTAGTAAAGGACACTGAGTATCCCAGGCAGTTCCTCTGGGAACCATATTGATCAACAGAATTGATTACCTTTATAGTAAGTTCACTTCAAAGAGGAAGGCATACATTATGCTTAAAGGAGAGCGGGCTATTTTACTATATTTAAACCAAATGATATAAGAGAGTGCTGCCATTATGGGTAAGAAACTGGGAAATTGGTATTCACACTTTGTTTGAACAAAACATTGAAAATATGTTGAGTAAGTAGTAACGCAGAGGAATGTTCCTACATTAAACTCTAATCTGCTGAAATATTGGTTCACTTATCTTATGAAAGTGCTTCCATTGTTTTACTGCAAATGAGTTTGCTGATTCAGTGAAGATGGGGACATTGTCATATCATAAAAACAGCCTTTAAGACCCATGGGCAAGCTTAGTAAATAAATTACACTGCATCGTGACAACATAATGTCTTAAACATCTGTTTGAAAGCGTTTTCATGCTTTTTCTCAAACATACAAAGTGACAAAAGCACCAGCAGTCAAGCTGAATCAAGATTAACGAGGCCTCAACCAGAAAACTCTGGCTGACAATAAACTGGCAGCAAACAAAGTGTAATATGATACAGCTGTGATATAAAAATACTTCCAGTGAAACAACAATAAAAGCAGAAGAAACTAAAACTTAATTAAGTTAGCGCAATTATCTAGCTCGGGCGATATACAAGCTCATGTGTTTGTGTATGGAAGTGTACTGTACGTGTGTGTGACAGACAGGCAGCGATTATACCTGTATATGCCCTCCACCACAATGAGAATTTTCTTCCAGGGTCGGTGGGTTCTCGGCTGCCCGTGCACGATGGCGTCTCTCAGCAGCTTCTCTAGGCTTTGCATGTCTACAATACAGAGAAAAGGACAGATTATTGCCCTAAAGTAATACGAGAGCTTTCTTTAATTAATGGATGAGTGTCAATATTTTATGATCACAACCCTTTGAAGCATTGAGCGTGTTTTCTTAGAAGTTGGCCCTGCCTGGTTCCTGGGTGCTGACTGTGAGCTTAGATAACTGTAGGTCAGGATCTCTGGTGACGGTGTGTATACATGTGCTTGTGTGTGTTCTACAGACGTACAGACAAATTTGCACTGTGTGAAGCAACATGCTCACACCCCTGTGGAATGTATTTGATCTCCTGTTGAGTAAACCAGATTATAGCTAATTCCTGTCTGAGTGTTAAAAAATCCATTTTAGTTTATTGGAGTTGTACCCACTGTTGTGTTTGAAGACCCGAATTGTGGAGCCAGAAAGGCGGGCACCCAGCACCAGTGACGCGTGATTCAGCTCGTCACTCAGAATAAGACAACCCTAAAACAAGAAGAAAAGAAAAGAAAAAAGGACATTTTTAAACTAATGTCACAGTGTTTTAAATTGTTTTTTAGCTGGTGATCTCAGTTTCTACATCAGGAGAGCAGCAATCCTTAATAAGACTGAAAAGTCAAACACAATTCAACCCTCTTTAGAGCTTTACTTGCATAATACTAATTCCCCAGGATTTCACATGCCGAAGTGTTTAGCAACGCCTTTCTGGCCCAGACTCTGATTATTCCTATGAGAAAGACTGAACTGAAGTCTCTGGAACATACGCATGTATGACCAATGATCCAGGTTAAGCTGTTCACATGAGCCTTTAATACTCTGTGACTAAGCATACCTGTTGCCATGATTAAATGTACTTACACAATAACCTCCCAATATGGTTTTTGCCTTCATAAACGTAGGGAAATGTCATACAAGTACGAGTATCCAGCACTCACATTTAGATCTGCGTAGTGTGCAGCTATAGCCTATGGGCCCAGGTGGGTGCAAAGTAAACCAGCCACAGATTTTTAGATCTTTATGGATGTGTGTTTTTTTTCATGTCGGCTAATTTCTACAGACTGTGCACCCCACTTGTTTTTCTCTTGGTTGTTTATTTCCTATTCTGCCCTTAGATTTTGCGAGTAATCGATAAAAATTCAACACGAGTACTCAAATATGGAAATTACTTAAAATGCACATCCCGAACAAGTACCTTGTTCTTTTTTGTTTGGCAAATAATACTACTTAATTAATACTTTTATTAAATCGGGAGATGATAATCCCAAATAAAAATGTGTGATTGTTTTCCATTAGAATTAAAATGTTGTGTTATTAAAAGCCAAAATAACATGTTGAATAACAAAGATTAAGAAGATTTTATTTAATCTGAGCATAAGCTTCTCATATAAAAAAAAAGAGTTTGATAGAGTATTGTTGACACCTTATCCACCTCTTAAAGTCACCACACCCAAACATTCAGACAGATCCCACATTTTCTCTGGTCAATGAATAAATGGGCTTGTTACACAATCCACAAGTATGTCCTGATATAATAGTCTGAGCTAGGAGACAAGTGACGTTAAACATTTATGAACCCTTGTGACAAGGGCAGTGACTCAAATCATTACGGCCTCTGTTTGTCCATCTGCATATTGGTTTCTCATTCATGTGGGCGTCAAGAAATGTGCTCTTTGACTCACGGGGTGCACACTGTCAACTCAAGATTCGACTTCCTGTTCAAGCGACATTGGCTAAGGAAGAAAGGAGCATGTAAGGACTGGCATGTGTGTTTTGTTGGGGTTAGAACAACATGGCTGCAACTTACCCCCTCCCCCCCCATACTTAGAATGTTTTGAAAACTTTGGCCGGAAACTAGTGTGTTGTGGAACAGTGTGAACTCTTCAAGCTCGGCCATATATCTGAAAAAGATCGCTTGTGTTCACTTTACACAGGAAAGGTGTTTTTTTAAACTGTTAATGGCACTTGCATACCCATTCAATTACAGCGTGGGTACAGGGGCCAATGTAACTACAAAAACACAGGAGAAACAAATCCAAAGTAATCAAATCAAAAAGAGAAGGATGTTCTAGAAAGAACAAAAACAAAAAAACAAGTGAGTAAGAGTGAAATTCCTTACCTTCCCAGTGAGAGCGGGAATGTTCATGGAGTTGGTTGCAAAGCCCATGCCAAAAGCCATAGATGACTCAACACCAAGGAACCTGGCAACCAACGACTCCAGCTCCTCGTGGATGTCCAGGTTCCCTGGAATCAACATAATCAAAGTTAAACTACAACCATCAGTGTACTGTGACTTGCAGAGTTGCCTAAAGGGAGACATTTTTAAATCTTTTTGTACAAGTGTTTAACAAGCAGTGAGCTCAGGCCACTTTCCTTAAAGTCCAGATGAAATGAAAAATGCACTTTTAACCCTTTAAGATGACATCCCCAGTCACACTGTACCCCTATTTAACAATGTATGCACAAAAAATCTATTTCTTTGTGTTTTTATATATATATAAAAAAACTATCTTTTTGTTCCCCTGTAAAACAAAACGTGACGCATGGTTACGTAAGCGTGAACCAACTAATTTCGACCAATAATATCATGACATTCAATCCAACTTTTACCGATACAGAGTAAAGACTCATAGCTAGCAACAACATGGCTTTCTGCTGGAGTGGAGCGTTTCTGGGGGCTGGCCTCACCACTTCATCAGTGATTTTGGTGAAACTGGATCATGAAGAAAATATTTTCTGATTTTCCCTCAGAGGTAATCCGGCTGCTCTAACACAAGCAGCCTCACAGTGAACGCAGCCTCCGAGACAGACAGAAGGAAATGCGTGAATATGTGGAAAAGCACTATGCTTCCTGCTTCATGTGGACTTTTGTTTATGCTGTGTTAAGGGTGCATGCATGCAGGTGATGCAATACACAGTCCTACCAATTGTGTCACAGTATTCCACTGATCAACGGGCGGCGGTAACACACCAGCAAAGGTAGGCTGGATTTAAATACTTGAAAAAAAATCCTCTTTGCAAATGTTTCACTGGGAAGAAAGTGCACTCCACTTTCTCGCGCTCACTCAGGTCGAAAGGAGGCTGCAGCAAAATAGGTTCTGAACTGAAAGAGGACTCCAACTTCAAAGCTTTCACAATGCGTCACAATATTTCAAACTCAATCTTTCAGGTCTTCAAGACCACTTAAGCCTGTGGCCTCTGTTGTATGCTGAAGGAACAACGGACAAAAGAGGGAGCAGTCCTTAAAGTACCAGCTGAGGTTCAATAACAGTGAATCTGTTAAACTATATTTTTTTACGATAAAAGCAAAAGAAAAAAATCATGAAAGCCTTTTAAAAATAACTTTTTTTGAGCCATACCTATCTCACAGCGTGTGCTGCCCACTCCAACTCCATACTTTTGTGTGGACTCAATAGCAGCGTCGGCACAAGCCCCAGTGTTCTCAGCAAAGCCGAGGTAGTTGTATGAGCCCATATTGATGACGTTCTTCACCACTTTGCCTGTGTGCCTGAGAGGGACAGACAACGTCAGAGACAAAGAATTGGTACCCTGTTTCTAGGTTGAAGAAAACAATTATCCTCATCATGTGTGCCTGCCTGCCCTGGTTGCCTGGCAACCATTTCATTAACTTCCACAGTTATCACGCACTGTGATAATGTACAATAGTTTTTTGTCCTGAGGGAATTCTGCTGGCATAGTGCAGATTATACTGTACATATCAATAAGATAATAAGGAAACTATGACACAACCATGGCTGGTATCAGAGCAGTTTCTCTGCAGACATACTCTCCCCATTGGTTTTAACTGTCCCTGTTTGTTTTAACCGTTTCACATTTGCCCTGCTAACACCAATATAAATGCTTATGTAAATTACTGTATATTTAGGTCTAAAACTATCACATAACTCGCACAGTTCTTTCACATCAGTAAGTAAAGGCTTTCTTAATTTCCTCGATGCAATGAGGGAATAAAATGAAGGTAATTGGGACAAAATGAAGTAAATTATAAGCCATTCATTTCAGTTTTGTGCTGACTCGGTTCTATGGATACTGGATTGTTTTCAAACTACCTCTGTCATTTGTAGAGGACTGTGTGTTTAGAGCTGCTTTGTGTTAGTGTTTCTGTTCAGTGCCACATGACAGAGACTAGTGGTTCAACAGAACCATCTGAATCATGGCTTATGTCACTCTTTATTATCAGAAATAAAAGGTCAGACAGTGACTTAAAGGGAAAATCTATTACCTTCCTGTTGAGCTAAGGATCAGAGGCACAGAAAGACACACCTCTGAGGGAATAATGACCTTCATGGACAACGCCTTGGATCTAAATTAACCCTGTGTGCACGGAACAACAGACACTTCACAATACAGCAACTTACTCGAAAGTCCAATTGTAGTCATGGGAAACCCTCTCCACCAGGTCCATCTTAGCACCAGGAACACTACAGATGGGGCGGTTCCAGTTGTCTCGAATCCTCATGTACAAGTTCCTGGTGTAAAAGTTCTCAAAATCCTGATAAAGGGGGACAAAGTCCTGCAGGGGAAGTGGGGGAAAACGTAGATCATTTTTTAATGTAGCTTCCTGGCAGTCAATGATTCCTGTTAAACCAGATATGATAGGTGTGGCGAAGAGTGTGAAAGACGATACTGTGACCACGAATGTAGCGGGAGGTGACTAATACAACAGGTCTTTTCTGGGATTAGTCAATATCTAAAATAAAAATATGACACCTTTAAGGTGGCGCTGTCATAACAGTATCTGTCTCGCAACTCCCGACAGAAAGAGTGATTGGTCTGACTGCCATGAACTCTTCGGTCCCTGAACTAGCCGTGGATGGCTTCACACTCAAGTTTTGATTGTTAATAAGGTGAAAGAAACTTTACCCTCTGCTCTTCTCTCTCCCGAGCCACGTGGCACTTCTCGATGTTCCAGTGGCGAAGGAAGTCTCGGAGGTAGCCAAAGATGGTGAGGATGCCGTAGCCCATGTAGGTGAGCACGGCCACCAGTAGAGGAGTCTCCTCAAACGATTCCAAAAAGGGCTTCTTGTACAGGTTGGAGTTGTGTGTGACATTTTGGTTCTGATGGACAATAAAAGTAAAAGAAGGTCTCATTTGAAACGGTTCACACAGCTTTTACCGGTGTAAACACAGACGGATCGAAGCCCAAGGCACAGAGTAATACTGTTAACTAACTGATTCCACTTTATGTTGCAGGAAGAGCCATTTTCAGCTTCCAGTGGTTTCCCCTTTAAAATGTGTTGGTTCATCTATGCTTCAAAGTCTGTTTACTCATTAAGTCTGCTGCAGCGGCTTAATAAACTGTGACAGAGAGCAGACCAGATCAATCCAGTATGAGCCGGGCACACTCCAGACGACAGCAGGGCTGATTTGTTAAAATTGTGGTTTTCTTGGAAAGAGTTAGAAACCTAATGAAGGCTACAATAAGCACATTAACTGATGGAGACCTACAGCGTGCCCGGGCCCCCACGTGAGCAGTAAAATGGCCATCAGTTCAGGGTTCTAATTCATTGAGTTTTATGAATAGCAATATTGATCTTGGATTATGGGACCGTATAAATGCGGTCACACGTCAGAGGAGCTCCACAAAAAAAAAAACCCTACTCGGCCACATCCTCAAAAAAAAACCCAAAAAAAACGGGCATAATTTAAATACATGATTTCAAGCTGGACGGGGGACTGGCTGTCTACACAAACCAACATTAAACAAATGAGGGCGGCCACTCATTACGCCCTCTGGCCCGCAGCTTAGCAACCATACCTCATGTGACCTCTCATGCTTCTCCTAGAAATACCTCTGAGCCAGGGAACAGGAGAGCACTGCGGTCTGTGTGTGTGTGTGTGTGTGTGTGTTTCAAGCCCGTCAAACAGGTCCTTTTCTCTGAAGTAACGTTAAAAAAAAAAGCAGACCAGAAACCCTGGTTTCTGAACTGTCTCGAGGTGCAAAGATGTCCTTTTATACCTGTGGACAAACAGGGACTGGGAAGAGGAAGACCTGTGCCATTCATTTAAAGCTGGACAGCACAGCAACTGTCCCCAGAATCAGATCTGGTTGAAACGTGCTCTTTCACATGCTTGCTCTGCAGCTCAGAGGGGCTGATCGTATGACACTGTATACACAATAAGGACAGCTTGCACGTGGTGTGTGTTTGACATTAGGGCTCAAACTGAGTAAATAAAAGAGTAAGTCCTCTCCTTGCTAATTGCCAATTCAACTCATGGCTCATTTTTACCCAGCTGTTGTTGACACTACCATCCCAGTTGAAAGCTGTTAGTGACCATTCATACCCAGCTGCTCATACAAATCCTGCTTCTAATCATTTTTCCTATATTATCCATATAGGGATTATGGCTAGCTCAAAAGGGAAAAATCCATGCTTTGCCTTCGCAGCCAGACCCAGGAGGACATTTAATGCTGGCCTGTGGCTGAGACATCAGTTAACGTATTGAGCCGCTGGTTTCAGAAACACTTCAGGTACAGCCAAGAGACACTGAGTACTCCTTACGCATCCTGGTTCCTCCTGCAAACATACAGCGGGTCATTCCAGCTGCCTTATCAGGAAGCAGCAGAGCTCGTATCGCAACAGGATGACGTGATACCGCTTCTTAGTAATAAAACGTTTCCTTTTATCACTAACCTTTTAAGCAAATGCTAAAAATATCATGGCCGAGGTCATCTGACAGCTATAAAAGTCATGGTAAAATGCCCCGATTGACATTGTATGCAAAAGCCAAACTGCTATGACAGCCACAGCATCTGGACCTCATTATGTAAATCCACTGTATGTTGGTCAAACATGAGAGACGTAGTGCATTAGTTCCACAATACACACTATGAGGGATTCCTCAGAAACCAAAACAACCCAAAGAACTAAACAAAAGGTGTGTGTACCAACCTCCACCACCACACACACACACACACACACCCCCTCTGTGTTTTCAGGGCCTTTCATTCCAACCTAGGAGGGACCACACCCATCATAGCCTGGAGACATTCCTCTCTCCCGCTAAAGTGTCATGAGAAAGCAGGCCTGTCCTCCTCTCCCAGGAGACACACACACACACACACACACACACACACACACACACACACACAGCCTCTCTGGTGATAACACAACAGGGCCCTGGTCATACTGGAGTCTGTGTAAACAGAGACCGGTCTAACTTCACGACACACAAACACACACACACACAAACAACAGGGTGTAAGGTTACCAGAAAGTCACCACTACCATCCTCCCTGCTCAGGTGGCATGTACCATTAAACAACAGGTTTACAAAGTGTGTGTTTCGCAGCGCACGCCGCTGGTTGCAAGCTACATTTGGATTTTCCGAAGCACAATGTTAACTATTAAGTATGACGAGAGCCACGTGATTTGAAGTTAAGTGTTAGAAACTCAATACCGCGAAGGAATTGGTAACAGCTAGCCGGTCGCATTGGGACAAAGCGGTACATAACGCTAGGCATAAGCTATGTAACTTAGTAACTGTTATATTACATTAATGTTTTACAGTCCCCTTATGAGCTGATCTAAAACTGCCGCCATACAGCCAGCCGCAGCTCTCACTTCGCGTGTGCCTGCAAACAAACAACGATTCACAGTCGCAATATAAACACGGAAAAAGAAGAGAAATGAATGACACAAGCGCTAACGTTATTTGTTTAATTCAAACTATTGTATCACACACAGCAGCAGTGCTTGTTTATGGCCCTCTCCTGTCGAGCAGCTGACGGTTGGGCCTTACCTTCTCCCGGGGGCGACGATACTTCTGTGGCTGTTGGAACAAGCAGTGGTTCTTCACGAAGCCATTTTTACTCGACTTTCTGCCGTTTGAGGTCCGGTGACAGGCGTCTCCGTTTAGCAGCTTGTTCGAAGAGCTTTCTGTCATCTTTGTCGGCGGACTACGACTGGAAATTTCACGATTTGAAGTAGCCCAACTTGTGTAACGTTAGTCGTGAAGTCATGTATGAGCTGGGAAAGAAAACGGATCAAACGCCCACTCTGCTCTGTGACCGGAGAGCCTGCCGGAAATCTACGCCCATTGGCCAATGCTGTACAAAGATCGTCTATAAAACACATGAACAACTCCTACCAGCATCTATAGATAGATAGATAGATAG